CACACGCTTCCCTTGTAAGTTCTGAAGACAGAAATAAAATTGGGAAAAGGAAATTATTAGGTTGTCAAGAAAATAATGTCGTTTTTCATTTGCTTGCTTTAACAAAACAACAGGACTCAACCCAATAAAGGGTAATGGGTACTGTTCGATAGAGCAAAGCAAGCTCTACAAGATGGCACTCATGATTTTGCGCCAAGCTCGATTCACGGAAAGCGTGAACTCAAAATCTGAAGATTTCTAAATGCCCAAAAAATCGAAAAAAATCAGATCTTCGTTCAAATAATTTCTACGGACCTCCCACTCACACACGTCAATACTTTTGATATCTCATATCCGTATGTGCAGGTGCTGTACTTTTTCCTTGACTAGAAATTGAGAAAACGAAAATTTTTGTGTTTTTCTAAAAGCAATGCTGAGCCATTCTTGCATATGTGATTCTATACTACAAGCTTAGGTAAGTATATCTGTAGATTTTCAGCCCATTTCAAGCAGTAGTTTTTAAGAAATATCGAAATCAGCTTTCTTCCTTTCAGTTTCAGTGCTAAAAGCGACATTTCTCGAAAACTACCGTTCGAAATGAATCTAAATCTAAATGAATCTACCATGAATCCTCGAATTTCACATAATCCTCAAATTTCACATAATTCTCAAAATTCAATTTCAGTTTTCGAAAAACTCTTGATTTTCTCAAATCTCTATATATTAGGTTGTCCCGAAAGTTTGTTCGCATCATTTCGAAAAAATCATAACTTCTGAGTTTTTTGACCATTTTGACTATTTCTATTTTTGCATGAAAGAGTAAGTCATGCTCTTTATAATGACACCTTAGCTGCTTACTATTGATCATCAGTTGCATACTAAGAAAAAATTATGGTCGCCCCCCCCCAAACGGAAATCCTGGCCACTGCTGCTTACTAATAGTCATCTTTTGCATAGGCCCGTAGTAAACCCCCTCTCAGCGCAACTCGGCTGGGGGCGGGCCTACGTTGAACGTAGACCGACTCAGTCCAGCATCCAGTGAGCCATTGATCCGGATTCGGATCGCTTTCTGGTCATCGAGATCTTGTGTGTTCCCAAAAAGTTGAACACCTTGAGCAGGTTTGGTAGAGCGGCTAAGTGAATAGGTTTCAAAGCGCGAGACCATGGTTCGAAGCCGGCTAATGGCAGATTTTTGCGCCACCGCGGACAATCTTTGATAGCGGCCGCCATCGAGAAAAATCGATGGCGACCGCTATCAAGGATATCGCCAAGCAAATAAAGGGATAAAACACATTCACCATATTTTGACGAGAATATCATAAAAAAAACGGAAATTTTGTAACATAGAGCAAATGAAAAAAATTAAGAAACCCTTATTTCATCAGTCTTTGAAGGAAAAACGTGAGCAAGCTCTGAAAAAAAGAGAAAATCCAAGAAATCCTGTTCTCTTGCTTTTTTCGCCGCAATCAGCTGTTCATTGATCCTCTCCCGTTTAGGCCGCCGAAATTGTGCAAATTTGGGAGTTTTGCACCGCAAGAATACGTCGACTGAATTTTCCCGTAAGTTACTCAGGAGCAACTTACGGGAAATTTGTCTGATTCTCTTCTTTTGCACACTATCTCTCTCGGGTCACCCAAAAACCTCGGATAAGTGGCATTCTGGTGAACTGACTGTGACACTTGACCAGACAGTCTTCTGACTGTTGAACTGACTATACTAAAACACGGGAAGGTGGGCGGGATTAGGGTCACCCGAGGAAGTTCTTCTGAATGACTAATCTCAAGTCACCTGAGATGAATGGGGGTTAACTACGGGCCATAGATAGGAGCGATAGAAGAAAATTAGTTAAAATGCGAATTTTCTGTGTAGGGCCATAACAAATGGAAACTTGCAACAAAAATCGGAGCAGTCGGTATTGTAGGTTCTTTCACCAGCTGTTTCTAACAGCGCAAGCAAGCAATACTTAAGGGCGAATATGTTTTGTTTTGGCGTTTTTCAGGTAAATCAGAACTTTTCATAGAGACGCTCACTCGGCGCAAGCTTTGCACTGTTAGAAAAAGCAGATGAAAGAACCTAGAATATCGACTGCTCCGATTTTAGTTGCAAGTTTCCGATTTTTTATGACCCTACACAGAAAATTCGAATTTTCTGTGTAGGGTCATAAGTTTCTGACTAAGTTTCTTCTATCGCTCCTATCTATGCAAAAGATGACTATTAGTAAGCAGCAGTGGCGTATCCAGGATTTCCGTTCGGGGGGGGGGGGGAGCAAAATTTTTTTCTGATGAAGGCGCGTGGCGTGAGCCACGCACCCAGAAATAATTTTGGTACCCTTCTTAAAATTTTCGCGGGCCCATAATCCCAAAATTTTAGAAAAAAGGGGCGTACGTCCCCGAAAAAAATCTTTTCATAAGGCTAAATTGAATTTTCGAAAAAATTTTAAAATTATTTTAATTACTTACAAGTATAATTAAGTCTCTTGCCTAAAAGGCCTTGGTCCTAGAAGGCAGACAACTAAGAATCTGCAAGGTCGTCAATGTGTTAAGAGACTGTTATTATATGGGAGGGAGAGGGCGCCTTCCCTCCCCCTTCCCCCCCCCCCCCCCCCGAGAACAGGTCTCGAAATTTTTGAAAGTTACTTACATGGGTTATAGAATTTAATGACTTGTCTGTTTGTACATAATTGAAATAAATTTGGAAATTTTTAAAAATTCATTTTAGCCTTATAAAAAATTTTTCTTTTCTGATTTCGAAGTTCTGAGCCCGCGAAAATTTTAGGGAGCATACCAAAAAAATTTTCGGAGTGCGTCCCCCGTGCCGAAATCCTGGGTACGCCATTGATACATACACATTCACATATACATAGCTAAGAGATCGTCTGGGGTACTGATATACCAACAGCCAGATATTGCTTGGTACTTCTGAATGTTATTATGTTTACAGTGAGTCTATTGTAATCTTAAAGGCGTAGAAATGCATTGAAGCAAGAGCATTGTCAAAGATCAAACAGTAGGATTTTGGGACAATGGAGATAGACATTGCACATCCGCCATCCACACTTTGCTGTATGGCAAGATACAGTAAGCAAGTTAAGTTTCAAAATCGCTTTGAACTGAATACGCTTATGAGGATTCTGCTCTTAAAACACATGAGACAAAGCTCTCTTTTTACTTTGATGTGAACCGTGCCTATTGTTAAAAAATGTTTGAAGAGTACCTCCACTTTCAGATCCTTCATTTCCGCAACAAAGCAAAGTGTTTCTATCTCAAAAGCTCTCTGTTCAGCATATCATGGAAAAACAGATGGGCGTAAATACGAAAGTGTAAGAATAACACCGTGTTTTCTAAAGTTTTTTTGCAAGGGAAGGATAATGGTTTACCGTGGCCATTCGCAATGAGACACAAATCAATTTGCCTTTGAGTCGCTGTTTACAAATTTGCTTTTGCTATTTGCTAAGCGGCTGTTTACAATAATTTATAAGCTAATAATAATTTATAAGCTTTTTTACGCATAATTTTAGCATACTAAAGCATAGTCAGAATCATTATTTTCTGGGGGGGGGGGGGGTGAGGATAAACGCGAGTGAGAGAGGTTGTTCAAATTTTTAATGATTGCGATTTTCTTCGTTGTTCCGAAAAACGAAGGAATTTGAGAGATGTTCTCAATTTTGTTTAACTAAAACATTGCGAATTCTTGTGAAAAAAGTCATTACTTTTCAGACAATTGCTCAGCGATTAACGAAAACATTTGAAATCAGCACTCCAACCATTTAGGGCCGCATGCATTGACATCCCCACTGGGGGGGGGGGGGATCACAGCTCAAAAAAAGTTTCATATCCTAAAACTTTAGATGTCTGGATTTCACGCTGTCTACCTATCCAATAGGAACATATTGAACAGGAACAAGAAGCTGTACAAGCCGCGTTTTCCAGATTTTTGTATGTGATCATCCCCGTCCGCCGACAGTTTTTTCTTTAAAGTCAATTTTCTTTCCTCGAATGCAGTAACGTTCCAAAGTTGTACTAATTATGTAACTCAAACTGCCAAGCTATTAAGAACAAATGTTGTATTGGAGTCAGAATTCTGAGATTTATTTATTTATTTATTTATTTATTCATACGCTCTATGGCGTTCCTTACAAAAAAAACAAGAGGAAAAAAAGTACACACACAGTAAATCGAACAACCCCAGTCAAGGTCCACCGTGCCGTTGGGCCCATACCTTTAAATTGGTTAAGAAGTATGTTTGATAGAGCTTGCATGTGACTGCTCAGGACTACAATTGTCATAAAGATGTGATCATGGAGATGGTACCCATGCCCCCATTACTGCCAGCAAAACGTCCCTGAGATACACTATCTAACTCAGGATTGCATGGTGGATATACTCCCACCGCATGAGGCTAATAGGAAGAGTAGTTACTCGAGAATACTTGATTAATAAGAAGTGTTGTAATGGAACATTGTAATCGAGAAGATAATAGGTTGTTGCAAGTTGTGGAGGTGGTGATCCTTCACACTCGTACGCTAGCAAAGTGCTCTCGAAATACCAAAGTAAGCAAAGCGGGCTTGGTCAGTAGAGTAGCAGAAAAACCTTGCCCAAAAGAATTCCGGGGAGAGACCAATGCTCCGAGAGAAAATCAACAAAATTCCGCGTTAATAACTCAACTAGAGCAAGTCAGCAAGCATTAAAGGTTGGGAAGAGGGAGATTGTTGTTCAGGCCTGCACTAACATGGTGGCTTGATATGGGTTATAAGGGCTTGGCCATACCCTGCCGGTGTTGTCGACACCGCCAGTGCCACCCACATCACCGGCGCCGCCAACGCCACCAGTGCCACCCGCGCCGCCGGCGCCGCCGACGTCACCAGTGTCACCCGCGCCACCCACGCCCCCAGCGCCACCGCCTTTGAGCGGTAACACTTGGAACATGAGCAACACGAGCAACACCAGCAACATCGGCAACACCGGCAACACGAGCAACACCGGCAACATAGGCAACACCAGCAACATGAGCAACACCACCGGCAACATCGGCAACATGAGCAACACCGGCAACATGGCAACACCGGCAACACGAGAAACAAAGGCAACATCAGCAACATCGGCAACAAGAGAACACAGGCAACATGGGCAACACAGGCAAAGTATGGCCAAAGCCTAAGAAATGCAGAAAGAAATAGTATATGTAGAAAGACGAATCTCAGTGGCCGTGTTCGCTCGAATATGGCAAAACAGATGTCGGACTACATCGCACGTATGAGAATGTTGATGTTGATGCTGATACAGTTGATGCCGCATAAGGAAATAGAGTTGCAGTTGCAGTCCAGACGGTAGATGGAGCATAAAATATCAGCCATAATTCATACAGCAGAAAATAGTCACCAGACAAGAAAGCGCTCATGAGCCAGATCTGAAAAAGAAACATTAGAACGAACTCAAAACAGAGAAAAGACAGAGGTTATAAAAAAAAGGCTATATAAAAAAAACCACATCGTAGACTTCTAGTTCAGACAGGCTATGGCTATGGCTTCTACCTGAATCAAATACATACAAAAGAAAACGAAAACATCAGCACAAGTACGAATCACTCTCAACAGATTTGGGAATTTCTGACTTTTCTAGAGCTTTCTTGAAAGCCCGACTAGTATTAGCCGACTGCAACTTAGCGGGCAGCCGTCTAAACCAGCGAGCACATCGATAGAATAAAAAATTGAAAAGGCCAGAATAGCAGTGTTTATCCAGTCTAGGGTAGTGAAGATTGAAGCCTCCTACCCTGCAACTTACAGGTCTGAAGACCCAAAAGCTGCTGGCAGGAAGGTCAATCTCTTTCCGCAGTATCGCAAAACAAAAAACTAAGTCAGCAATAATTCTTCTACGTTTCAGTGATTGCAAACCAAAGAGTCTCAAGCGCTCATTGTAATCTGGTTTGGACCTATCTTGCATATTATGAGACATGCGAAAAAAGACCATCCGTGTAAAAACATGTTGAACTCTTTCAATCTTAACGATATCTTTCTTTGTGGAGGGGTTCCATACTTGAGAACAATATTCAAGATGTGGTAGCACATAAGCCTTATATAGTCTGGTCAAAACAACTGGATTAGAGGAGTGAATAACACGAAAGATTGAAAAAAGAATAGAATATGCTTTTTTGACAGCAGAATCAATATGTTTGGAAAAATTTAATTGAGGATCAACAAAGACACCTAAGTCTTTGACCAGTGGGCAAGCTACCAAATCTATTCCATTGATTTCATATTTGTCTGGATTAATTTTGCCCAGATGCAAAAATGAGCATTTGTTCGGATTGACAGAAAGGCCGTTAGAAGAAGCCCACGTATTTAGTTTATTTAGGGCTTGTTGCATCGATGTATGCACATCAAGGAAATCATATTCATTGTAAGATGCATACAGTTTGATATCGTCCGCATAGATCTGGACATCAACTCCGTTCAAGTCAATTAGAGCGGGTAGTTCAAAGGTGAAAATCAAAAAGAGAAGCGGAGAAAGCACACCTCCTTGAGGAACTCCACTAGTGCAACGGTACTCATTGGAAAACGACTGTCCAACTTTGATGGTCATATATCGGTCTTGAAGGTAAGAGCGAAACCAGTTCAGAAGATTGCCAGAAATGCCAAACTTCTGGAGTTTCATTATCAAGCCATTATGAGGAATCTTGTCAAAGGCCTTTGAAAGATCAACATATATTATATCAACTGATTTTCCAGTGTTAAGAGCTTTTCTCCAGTCAAAAACGCTTTTAACAAGATTAGTAGTAGTAGATCTTTTAGAAACGAAGCCATGTAATTGAGGTGGAATTCCATAACATTTCTTGATCCAAGAAAGCAGCTTTTTCCTTATAATTTTTTCCATCACTTTGACTGGAGTAGAAGTTAGACTTATAGGACGAAAATCAGACACTTTAACGGCAGTACTAATTTTTGGGATAGGCACAACCACTGATTTTTTCCATATAATTGGCACTTCCCCGAAATACATGGAGAGATTGAACAAGTCCGAAAGGGGTTTGGAAAGTACATCCACACATTTTTTATAGACTATAGGCGGTATACCATCGTAGGGTTCAGTACAAGAAGGATGCAAAAGTTTCAAAGCAATGCGAACATCAGATTCATGGAAGTAGACATTATCACAAGTCTGCTGAGGAGAGGTGTAATTCAGCGGACAGCATACATCATAACCATTTGCGAAAACACTAGCAAAATACTTCCCCAAAGCCTCTGCTCTATCAACATCATTGACACATTCTTTACCAAACTCATCAACAACATTGGAAAAGCCTTTGGTCTGCAGTTTGCTTCGTATGTATCCGAAAAATCTCCTAGAATTTGCATAAGAAGACAACCGTCTTTCATAATTGGCCAAAAATTTCTTAAGATGAAAATCAAGATCAAGACAGACTTTTTTGTATAAGGCATTAGTCAAAGGATGCATTGAAGCATTAAACAAATTTTGCTTTTGATCTAGAAGAGCACAGATGTGCTTGGGGTAATGAAAATTTGATGAACTGTTGATGGTTTGCATACATCCAAATTTGCCAAGTCCTTCGTAAACTTTGGTGCAGAACCTATAATAGGCGTCGTCAAGGGAGGTATGATTTACAAACAAAGAAGTCCAATCAAAAGTATAGAAATAATCGTTTAATCCAGGATAATCAAATTTGGGAAAGTCAGGGATAGGATATATCGTCTTAGCGGTGTAGCCAGCTTTTACATGAAATTCAATGATGTTGTGATCAGAAGAAGCAAGAGGGGGAGTATTTTGACTTTGTTTACATTGTTTTTAGTAGAGAAAATCAAATCCAGAATATTGCTACCATGAGTAGGTTCGAGCACATACTGCTTGAACCCACAATCCAGAAAAAACTCCATCAAGTTTTTTGAATTTTGGTCTATCGAGATGAAATCAATCCAGTTGACATGAAGGTTGAAATCTCCCAAAATAATCATATCTGCAGTTTGTGAGGAGGTGAGATTAAGTAAAACATTCTTGAGCTCATCATCTTCATATCTTTTACAACAAGGTGGACGATATATTCCGATGAACCTCACATAACTAGCATCCGAGGGGCACAGCAGGTCGATAGAAAGCAAATCAATGTCAGATACAGTGTGGTGATACACTTTACCGATCGATATATTACCCTTAACAATACAGCAAACACCCCCTCCTGTACGCTTTGGCCTATCACTACGGTGAATCAGATAAGGTAAATTAGAGATTAATTCAGAATCACTAACCTTTGAAGAAAGCCAGGTTTCAGTTATGAATACCACATCAGGTTTGTACAAGCAAAGAAACGAGTGAAGGTGATCAATCTTGTTAACTAAACTGCGGGAGTTAAATAGATAACATGTTAAGTAATCTATAGTACCATGCTCATTTATTGGTTTACCGAAGACTTGCGGGGAAGTTCAGATATGTGAGTAAGACGCCCTTTATAGACGACCCACTCACGTCCTGCACAATCCCTGTTCCGCTCTCTCGCCTCTTGGCGCAGCTCATATTCCTTTCTCCGCTCCTCCTCGGTCATACTTCTACGTATGTAGATATTTGAGAAGCCAGAAGAGCGGAGAAGGTGGGCATTAGAGAGCGCCAGTCTCCAATAAAATCGACTGGGGAGGACAACCTTTACCAAACGGGGACGGTTCTGATTTGACTTACCCACACGATACGCCTCGGTTGCGCAACAATCAATGTTAAGGACATCAAAAATATCGTCCAGCTTTTTGTTTAAGTCAAGAGCACGCTCACTGGCGCGCAAATTCGGCGGAGGTTCAGCTACACCACTTATAACAATGGTTCGCGAGCGTTTGTCATTTTCAACAGCACTCTGCACCTCTTGCTGAATTTTATCAGACAATACGCACAGCATCTGATCAATGACGGGATCCGAGTTCCTCTCCTTCATGGAGAGGATCAGTTCCTTGACGCTCATATGGGAGTAGTCATTGTCAACTGTGGTGTAGCCTGGATTCTGTGTCAGATCAACTGGATGACCCACAGCGGGCTGTGATTCAGCACTTTTTTTGCTAACACGACTTTTTGCTAACACGACTTTTGCAGGCATCCTGTTGATCTCACAGACAAAAAAGAGGCGGGAAAACAATCAATGTTATGAAATAGTTCAAAAGTAGGCAGGAGAGTTGACAAATGACTCGTATCGAGCAAAGAGCAGGAGATACTGAGTTAGAAACCAGGTAGACAAAGTTCAGAACAATTACAAATAGAATATTAGCGAAAGAAAAGGACTTAGAACAGAGGATTGTAAGAGTGAAGAGAAGAGCGACCGCACGATGTGGATACACGCGTGAGAATGAGATGACCCACAAGTCAAAAGTTGGGGTATATCGAGAACTCGATAATTAATAATTTAGATAATCAGTACAATTTTGGAAGGTTTTCGTTGATTTCAAAGAAAGAAATTGACTTTGAAGATGAAGAAAAATATAATATTAGGTTGTCAAGAAAATAATGTCGATTTTCATAGCAAAGCTATAAAACAAATCCAAAAAGCTATGTGAGAGGTACCATTCGATAGAGCAAAGGAAGCTCTACAAGATGGCATCCGAACATTGGCAGAACTTGTTGTTTACGCAAAGTTCAGAGCCAAAACAAGCGAGCAACTCGTGGTACCAAAAACTGAATTTTCGCCCTAGAAAATCCTGCAAACTTCCCACTTGCTCCTGCTTGTAAAGGATACATGCACTTGTCCATAAGTACACTTGTTATACTTTTTCCATGCTTACAAACCAAGAAAAAATTGAAAAATGGAAAATGGCAGACTTCGCCCCCAGTAGTACTGGGCCCTTCCCACATACGTTTTTGTATACTCCAAACCTTTGTAACTTTACCCATAAAGATTTCGACCTTGGATATGCTTTAGTTCTCGAGTAATATCAATTTTACACAAAAAAGCCGAAAAAAACGACATTATTTTCTTGACAACCTAATAGATTGGCGGCGGGAGATTTTTTTAAGCTGCGATCCCTTCCCCGGCGGGGATGTCAATGAATGCGTAGGCCTAAGTAATATTTGTCCCATACAAATGGCCACGGTCACCAAGTACTTTATTTCTCTCTTGTTAGATTAGATCAATCAAGACTTCGTACTTAGAAAAATCAAGCGAGCAGATCTGCAAGGCCTGAGAGGATTAGCAATTCTTCTCGTGCTCGTAATGCACATGGAACCAAAGTCCTACCGCTTTGGATTTGTAGGAGTAGACATGTAGCTTGTGTATTATTTTCTTACTTTTGCCGAATAAGACAATTTTTACAAGCTTCTAGATTTTTTGTGCTGTCTGGCTACCTCATGTGTAGATTACTCCAACGAGAAGAAATCACTGCGGCCTCCGTTCTGGCTTTCTATTGTCGCAGGTTCAAAAGAATTGTGCCTCTGTACATGACAGCCGTTATTGTCACATATACATGTAAGATGCTGAACTTTAGCATGGGATTTTGAAAAAAATGATCAATAGCAACCAATCTCTACAATGAGCAACTCATGTACAAACCAATAAGATTAAAATGAAGAAAATATAATATTCAAGTTTTACTTTCGCAGATGGATACTTCCGTTTAATACGCTACGATCGAGAGCAACTCGTAAGTGATCTTCTTTGGGTGTGCACGTTCACTTCTAACGTACAACCAATCTTTCAAAGGCTGGGATATTTTGATCAGGTATTAATCAAAACAGAGTAGCACCTTGCATTACTTTATTCTCTTACAATTTGAGTTATCAAACTATCGATTCTTCGTACATACGTGGTCACTCGGAGTAGAGGTGCAATACTATCTTATCGTACCTGCAATAATTAAAATAGCATCCTATTGCACAAACAGCACTCGGCCAATGCTCTTTCTTTTTCTTGCAGCAATTTCTACGGTTTTTCAACTTTGCGCTCCACCCAATGTGAGTACCGGATATTATCTTGTTAACTCAGCAGGATTTTCACACTTTCTGGCATATGATAACTGGCGTCAGCATAGATGGCTGCTTGATGACTGATATGCTCGCAATAACAGTGCGCATTCTCAAAATCCTCAGAAGATGGCAGTTGGGGGAAAATCTTTGTTTTTACGTGCTATAGGCGACCGCGGTGAGCGAGTCATGACTCTTAACGCGCAATTTTTGCGAGGCATTGTTACTTCGCGACGTTTCACAGGTATCGTCCCCTTCACTCAATTGTAGAGGTGCGGACTAAGATGCGAGCTGGTCAAAGTCGATAAACAGCTAAATTTTCTCCATCCATTCACGTTGATAGGAATGATCCCTCGCTACCAAAACCGCCCGCTTTAGGCCCCGGACAGACTTCACGCGAGTTAATCGTCGCGATCTAATGCCAAGATTTTCATTCATTTTCATTTCACATTCAAAAATTTCGGGCTGGGAAAGTATCACAACCGAATGCAAGTTGATTGGCATGGAATGATGTTGCAACAGTTGTCTCGTCGCGATTCAGTCGCGACGATCAAATCGCGTGAAGTCTGCCCGGGGCCTTAGAGTGCAACGCCTGTGCCCGCTGTCATCATCAAGTCATGTACCTGCTTTTCATCCCTCTCTCCCTCCCCCCCCCCAAATCTTCAATCCCCCGCCGTGCACCATAGTACCACTGCGTGTACGGTAAAGGGGTTTTTGCGTGGGATGTGAGTTTTGACTGTAGCCATGGCATGCGCTCTACGCAGCGGGATAAAAGCCCTGAGAAAGATTACAATTGACTGCACGGATCGTCCGGGCTAAACGTCCACGAGCGTTTCTCTTGCGGGCTATAAAATGCTGATCGTTGAACTTGTGCCACGCGGGTTGTGGATAGAGTGATGAAATGTTACCTCAAAGATGGTAATTTAACTTTATTCAAGAACAAAGTTGATTTGACAAGAAGAGAGAAATGTTCCCAGAAAATTTACAACTCAATCTGCCTTCTCAGGATAGTTGTGGACCAATCCCCTTGAGACTTCTTAGTAAGCCTGGATACTTGTCCTGTTGATTTAATCCTACCCCCAAAAGACTTGTGATCAGCGATTTTTCTAGTGCCGGAGACATTCTCATCCAAACGCTAACCTTACCCCAACTTGTGGAGAGACTTGTGGGAGACTGCTCGACCTTACTCATCCATGAGTATTTATACCCTCTAGATCATATGCCACGTCATTGTTAACTGTTCTAGTGATAAGCCTAGATAAGTTAACCTGTGTACACAGGTTAAGCTAGGGCAATGATAAACCGATAGGGTGTAGGCTGGAATTCGCTGCATTTTGAGCTTTCGTTTTTGAGTGAAAGGCAGCGGCTCGGCAGATTCTCGACTTGAAGCTTTCTTGCTCACCTAAGGTAATTCGAGGCGCTAATTCCGAAAATCCACTTGAAGAGCGCAAAAATGGCAAAAACCACCATTTCTCAAGGCCTTCCATTTTGAATTTGGACGAGTGGAGCACATCCCGCCATGGTTAGAGAGGCAGAATCGTTGCAGGATCCTCGCTTCATAACACTGCGGCATGCCTTCTCTGACGGGTTAGAGAGGATCGCAAGCTCGTACGCGCCAGGATTACGGTACGTTTATTAGGTTGGCACATAAGTAATGCAACTTTTTATATAACTCTTGTCTCTTTGAACGTAGCGCATTCATTTTTTGGCAATATAAGGATTATGATGTAAGCTTCTAATGCACACATTTTCGCCGAATTTCGGCATCTTATGTCAGGATTACGGTAAGTTTACGGTACTATGGGAAAAATTTTAGAATGCATCAGGTTTTGCTGAAACTTGACCTATAGGGCTCATTCGACATGCTGATCACAAAAGTGAAATCCGTCTCGCATGAAAAGGCCCCGTTCGTGAGATCAAGAAAAGAATTTCATCTTAGCGACAATTGAATACGATATTCGTGTTCACCGTATAGGATTACCCTACAGTGAAAAGTTATAGCGAATTCTGACTTTTCGCAGCTTAGTTACTGACAAATTGCCTTCAAAACTTGACCCATTTGACTTGTGCAACTTCTCAAAGGCGCCCCACCTTGTTGTTAAATTTCATTTCTTTTTCACTGATTCTAGTGTGCCCACTTCTAGCTACATGCTGCCTATATTGCTTTTTGATACGTTTAATTCAGGTTTCGTAGGGCTTCATGTTTTCAGCAGTTCTCAAAAATACTTAGATTTTTTTATACTACGTTATCAAAATTAAACGGATTTGCAGACTTGCAGCTTACATCACGGTCTACATGATGCCACAAAATGAGATTGCTGTATAAAATAAAATAAAAGTTACGGGAAAAGTTGCAAAACTTATGTGCCAACCTAATAGAATGACTTGCGCGTAACGGGTTTAGGAGCAGTATTCTAGGAAAAAGCAGCATGCTGTGCGCTCGGACCTGCTCTGTTCTCATGTTTGGAGTGCAAGCAACCTTCCACGTCAAATTTCTGGGATGCTCGATTTTGGCGACCTGCTGCCTTTAAGGCTAGATCAAGTGGTTGCAATAAAGCAAATAAATTGTTTCATCAACAATCATTAACAACTGCGAAGAGTTCTGCGCACTTAGCACATCCAAAGCGGTTTTGAGCAGTTGTAACGGTGAGAAGATTTTACATAAAAGCCGCATGTGTGTATAAGAAGTAGCCTTCTCCAATGTTTTGCTCCATAATGTCGAGTTAATAAAACGTCCCTGGCTACGCAGTACTGCGCAATCATCATTTTACTCGTGTCTGTTTCAGAGATAATAAATTCCTCATTTTGTTTGGCCTGCCTTATGCAAAACCAGCATGACTGCCATAGGTTAGAGTTGATAGGTTGGAGTTGCTTTTTGACGCACTACAATTATGGTCATTTGTAGACAGTAAAAAAACTGGGGAAATAGTGTCACTGAGAAGTACGTCTTTTATAGTCATGAGTACGTTATTATATCAGATATCATACGGCTTCTTACTATCTCGTTTATGGCAGTTCATGTGTGGAGCTGTGGTTTACGAGTTAGAAATGTCGGCTTCACCAAGTAATTTGGAGTACAACCTTGTCCCAAGTCGAGATTATGGAGAACAGCAAGACACGAGGAAAACAGAAGATACAATGGTTGACATGCTTCACACACAAAAGGAGAATTTGACACGTACAGACGATGAGGGTGAGTGGGACAAGTTGCTGACAAATAACTCCTGTGTTGAGCTAAGATTCAGCAGGGGTAACTTTGCAAACTCGCTTTCCCGTGAGTGTTGCTTTTTGTTTATACTCGATCAAGAATCTAATAGCAAATTCTAACGATCGCACATTTTGTGCCTCTAACACTTGTTTAAATAAATCACTGGTTTGTTGAGTAGCTCGTAGCATGTGTTGGATTGGAACTGGAACATACATTTATTTATTGGGAAACACTGTGAGTCACAGGTAAAGATTTGAGCTAGAAAAGTAATTAGATTGTTTGTTTGATCTCATAAGCTGTCTAGGAGAATCTAATTGAGCTCTTACGAGGCTGTGCACTATGCACTGTCAACTCCTTTTTTTAAAAGCATAGCTTCTTGTTAGTATGCACTAGCTTTGCAAACTGCTGGTGCATATCGATAAGCGATACACCATACCCTAAATTGTATAGTGTCAGTCGCCGACTTTGGCCATGCTTATTCTAATTTTAGCAGTGGGTGGTGTCCAGGACCCAACGGGCGGTGGGCAAGAGGGGTTTCAAGAACAAATTTTCCTATGACCTCAAGACTTTACGAGTACCCCTTCAACCAAAAAACCGATCCCTGTGCTTGCGCAGTAAACTATTACCCAGAACCAAACTTTCTATTCGAACAAAAATCCAAAACAGCTTTTTCATAACAATACCAATAGTTACCACTTTGAGTTGCCATAAATACCTCAATTTGCTCAAAGTCCGTGGAATATAGCAGAGCATGATCAGAGTACTTTCAAAGAACAAGCTCAGAAAAATGAGATTTTCACAGCTATTTAGCTACAAAAACTGGTCTTCACAGATCAAAAGTGCGATGCTCACTTATAGCCAGTTGAGCCCTTATGTGTGCAGGTGCACGCACTATCCACATTGCGCGTCACATCCCCGATATCGGTCCTTGTTTAAATTCATCTTTGATGTATCCACATATCAATGCTCCTAATGCATGGAAGGAACAAAATCGAGAAGAAGACAATCTCAACCAAGTAAAGTGCCGCTCACAAGTAACGATATCGAAACTCTTACGCACCAAGTGTGCGATCTGCATCTGCATACAAGCTTATGGAGTAATCAGCTATATTGAACATCGCAATGGATAAAAAGATATGGAACTCGCTTTCCATTTCTCGACAGCAACTTTACACTTTTTTCTCAACAAAAAAGACTTGAGGAAACGAAACTGTTGGCGAAAGATAGTCCGCAACGAAATGATACGGTAAACAACTTGCTGTAAGCATCACACCAATAAATGCAACCGATGTGGAAAATCGCGCTAAAAATAAAGAAATTTAGGCTAAATCACGTACCATGTCCTCTTTGGTGACCGCGGGTGGCCAGGCCACCATGGCTGTGAGGTGCTCCATGACCGCCATGAAACAGTGTGGACGGGGATAATTTGGTGTAAACTTGAGGTCCAGCAAGGAAAGCCTGATTAGCAATACGTGAATTTGAAGCCGAGCCCAGAAAAGTGATTTCTCCGATGCAAGACTTTCGATTAACACATTGACGACAGCTTGACACACATGGTATGTCAAGCAGTGACTGCCGCGTGGGACCGCTTGACACACCATGTGTGTCAAGGTTTGATTTCTGTCAAAATGATACTATCTTGGGATAAACTCAATCCACGAGCTCTCTTTTGCACTATATCTGGGGATGACCTCTACTTTTTTTTGTCAGCCTTTCAGATCTACTGCAGGTGTACTGTAGATGGCATTATGCTCAATTATAGTTGAGAACTGCGGGCTGGTCCGTAAAAAGCCTTGGTCCCAAACGGCAGACAACCAAGAATCTGCATGGTCATCAATGTGTTAATGACGCAATTAATGCTGAAAGTAGAAAGCATTGAATAATGAAACCATTTCTTTTATTACATCTGAGAAAGAAGCTCAAATGAAACAGTATGATTTCAAAAACCAAGTTTCTACAGATGTGTGACCATACATACTAAAAAAAAACTCCAAAAGAGCCACCAAAACCACGTTTTGGGCCAAACTTGAAAAAAGAAATATATAAATTCATATTGAAACTCTGTTTATAAGTAAGTTTTTGCAGGATTATCCATGCTAAAAAAAGCTCCCTACAAGTTCAGAAAATGGATAAACTCACCGAAAATTGCAAGATTTTTGCAGTGAATTTGAGCTCGAGATAAAGACTACAACGACCACCAAAATAATCTTTTCCCGTCAGCCAAAGGAATCATCGAATGAATAATAGATGAATACATAGTTAGTGAACCAATTGGTTTTCAACTTGTCATTAGGTAAGTGAGCTTAATTAGTGCAAATAGTTATATTTCAGAAATGCCACCTAAAGGGTTTGAATGGTTTATGAAAGCAGCGGGGCGACAACACTTGTGTGAAAAATAGTCATGGGCCACGACGTTGCGTATCGTTGAGTGATTCATACCTTGAATGTGTGCCTACACACCACGCGCGGTTAACGACGACATTCTTACTATTGAGTTCTTACTAAATATCCCAAATCCAAAAGAGACAAGCAATAAGTAAGAAAAGAAAACACTAAAGATAAGCATAATACAATTCGTCAAATAGTGCGGGTGGTGTGCGCTACGCATATTGAGTTACAAATAACTCGAGGATAGCTTTTTTCCTGCGCAAGTGTTATGTGCACCGCAGATGCAGAGTCAATTTACTACCTATGATTACGGAAAACAGGACCACCGGGTACTACCGCCACTATATCAAACAGAAGTAAGATATGCAAGACTGAGGAGAAACAGTATTTGATAATTTGTAAAACCCGACTTTTAAAGTCATAAAGAAAACGTAAAACGATAAAAAAAAGGAGGAGAAATAAAAACAAAAAGAAACTGCTTCGAAGTAACTCATAACAAAATTCATATCGGTCTGCCCATGTTCCTCTAAATGAACACAAGCAACTGCTCAGATAATCGCGGGGGGTAAGCGGTCCGCAAACTCGCATTTTCTTGCAGGCGGTCAGCAAAATTTTGGGGCGTGGCCAAACCTTCAGAGGGCGGTACCTCTTTACTGTCGAATGTCCTGCTACCGGGGCAAAATACGAAGTTTTCTGCGAACGCTCGTCAAATAATCTCTTTAAGCGAGCGCTGGCTAAACTTTCAGCAGGCGCTCGGAATCTTTTTAAGCAGTTTCGGACGTACGTCGAACAAATGTGAGACTCTATGCTGCAGATCGATTCATCGATGGTTTAATTATCTAAGATTTTGAGGTACTTTCTCTTAGCGGAAAGTACCTGAGGGCTGTGCGGTCTTCCACAAAGGACCGTGCGGCCCTCATAATTTTGCATATTCTCGCGGAAAGTCCGCGAGAATGCGACCAAGGCGCCACAACTTATCCATAGAAAGACCGCGATAGTTCTCCGAGCGTTCGTCCAAAAATTGGCCAAAATTATTTCACATTTCTGCAAGCGGACCGCAAGAAATCAGCGAACTAATTTTCCGGCGCCCGCTTACTAAAATTCGCATGGCCGCCTGCCCCCGGCGATTATCTGAGTGGTCGCTTCGAAGCTACCATCCCCGAAAAAAGATGAAATGAGCGACGGAGAAGGACGAGCAATAGCGAAGACGAGGAATGAAGCGAGAAGTGACGAATTATTGAAGAAACGCAGACTATAGGACTCAACGACGCCGATATAGACTGGAGCGCGCTCTCCTTCTCATGAAATGAGGCTGATAATGCTATTTTTGGCTCTAACAAAGAAGAAAGAAGGAGTTTTGAAAACAAAATTATTGTATACTAAGTTTTAGGCGTAAAACAGACTCATGTAAAAATTCTGAAAATCTAATGTGAATTGGAAGTATTACCTACGTCAGGTGGGCATAAGGTTGGCAATTGCCAACCTCATTTGGAGGAGAAATGGGCGCGCTTTTCAATTACGTAAGTTCTTCATAATTCTTCGTGATATGTTCCTAGTCTTACTGCGCGTATACATACCGAATATCGCGCAATTTAGTCACCTCTGCGTTGCAAACGGGCCATTTTTCCATTTTTTGGTAGCGGGAAATTTTCAAAAAAAGAGGCTTGCCACAACCTCCAGTCACACGATTTTTTAATAAAACTTCTCAGTTAAAATCTGCAGGCCTGCATCCTGTAACAAATTCCATACCTATCGTCATGTGTGCGTTAAAATTTCATAATTTTCTATACTTTGTTCCCACTAGCCTCTCTTCGTTCGCTTGTGAAATTTGGTGCCATATCGTTACGCATACATTGAGAACTACTCATGTGCTGTTACAAATAGCATCGGTTGAGGGACGTCGCGCGTGCGGCAATTTGCGACGGCGCCATTTGACGCGCGCAAACTCCAGTGTTCGCCTGTTAAGGCAACATGTTAAGATAGGCAGAGAGCATAAACTACCAATTTTTTGCGGGTCTTCGCCCCGGGCCCCGCGAAAACCGCAAAACCGATCTCGCCTTTGCTTTATTCATCCAAAACGGTTTCCAGCCTGTCATTTGCCTACCTCGTGCCGGACCCTGGTGGTGTCGCCGCCAATGTTGACTGATGTTGACGGAGAGTGTAGCAAAAAACTGTCACCTTGCAACTTTGACTTCGTATCATTCTACATGAATGAAAATTATAAATTTCAGTTCCTGAACAAAAAAAGTGCAACAAATCTTACTTGGCTAATATCTTGCTTGTTGTTCTGTTGATACTAGTAATAACGAGTCCGAAACGATTAGACACAAATATAGGAAGGTAGGTGCTCCAAAGAATCGCAAGGAATCTTTTGAACTAAGGAGATGGCATAAAAACTGCTACTAACTTTTTATCTCAAGGATATACGCGACATTTATGGCTGGCGCGGTGGTCTATCTCAATGCAAAGGTGTTTCTTCTAAGGAATAGATGTATAGTCTACTGTGGAAGTTTATCTTACATCTTATATCTCATACATTGGCCAGTAATTGTGGCAGTGATATTGTTCAGGTTCATGGGTGATGAATGCCACTGGTAAAATTTGTTTAAGTTCTAGTTTTTTCCATTCTGAAACGTAACAGCCAAGTTTGCGTAACTCCTCTGAAAAGGGTTGCTAGTTATTTGTGCTTCTGCCTCGTCGCCTCACTTCTTGGAAGTGCTGTGGAGTCGAGCATTCTTTGCGCTGAGTAGCTTTTGAAACTTTGAGGCGCACAGCGAGGCTTGCGCATGAAGCTAAAATTACGGTACTTTTCCGTTATCCGGACCCATTTTTTAAAGGCTCTCGTGAAATAGCTATTTATTTCAAAGACAGTTTTTCATAGATTTCAGGAGGACGGCCTTCCTGCCACGTGTCAAGAAAAAATTGACACGTTTTGGTCCAGCTTGACACTTTTTTCTAAATAACTTCCTGTGAAGTAAAAGAGCACTTGTAATTACCTAAAAGCTGTTTAACTGCTTTCATAAAAGCAAAACAATTTTGAACTTATTTTGGAACATCTTGTTGCTTTCAGCAACTATCTAAAAATATCTTTCTTTCGAAACTCTGTCCGCCATGCGAATTTAGTTAGAAAAGATTATGCATGATGGCTCGAAGTACCTCGCTGTTTTGCCGCGTAGACGACGAATATCTAGCGCATTTCTTTATTTTGGGCAACTCCAATCTGTTCATTGATAACAGAATAACTTTTTTATAATAATGTTTTGAAATTGTTTAATCGAAAATGGTGCCATCATTGGTTAAAAAACAATCAAACTTCGTCACCAGGTAAAGCATTACAAACTCATAGTAAAACAACCTGCTAAACATGTAGATGACATGTCAAATTTTTTAACACGTGGCAGAACGTCGACACTTCTTCCTGTGAAGTTGGGACCAAATCTGGTACAAGGAAAGAAGCAATATCCTTCTTTGAAGAATTGAGTCTGGGTAACGGAAAAGTACCAAAATTACTATGTTTTTAGTGGAGGTTGCGAGCCGTATATTTTGTATCAGACTTTCCTCTAATCGTTTCGCAATTTTATCATAGCCGCAAAATAGTGACGCTCCGTACAGCTGCCCTAAATAACCTTTCGTTTTCCTCGTCGACTTCCCTTTCTCTATTTCAAAAGCGCTGAAACAGGAAGAGATGTGCGGATTTATCAATTTAATCATTAGACCTCAGTCTTTTCCTCACTCAAAGCAGCGTCCAGGCACCTGCCCAGTAACGTATTTAGCGGACGGCTTATCTCCATTGACCGATCAGCAAATGGTATGCAACGAAGGTAGGTTCCGCCGATTAGGGCAGCGGGGCCAGAGGTGGGGACAGATATTTCAGCCGCAGGTGCACCATGTGCGCTGCTTCGTAGACTTTATGAGGGCCTAGTGGCGTTTGTCTTTACTTTACGTTACCATTTTCGCCCAGCGAAGAACATATTGCATCAAAAAGCACGAATATTTGCGTGGCAAATTGACAAACGTAAGGATGCAGTATGTTAACTTGCAGCTATCGTTTACCTTGGCTCACACCCATAGACTCTGGTAAGGCCTTTGTGTTCTAGTTATAAGGTGCAAGTTAAGGCTAGTCCGGAAATTT